TCTTTTTTTTTTTTTGCTGTCTGTTGGTTTATTTTGCTGTCTTGGCAGAAAACCGTGTAGTCCGATGCAGTGATTCTGCTGCTGTTATAAAATATGAGCTGGAATTAGGCTACCATAGACACACCCATACTGTGGCAGCGGCACGCACACACACGTACAGGCAGGACACACACATATTTGCGGAAACTTTTCATATATATTTTCGTGCCCGGAGTTTGGCCCGCTCGAAGCGGCAGCTGATAAAAAAAACCAGCATGTAAAGTGGGGGGGGAATGGAGGGGGGAATGGAGGGGGGATGCGGGCCGAGGGACAGGACATATGTCCTGCAGGGATTCGGCTGGCTCCTGGGCTCACCGAAAGGTGTGAGCGAGTGTGTGTTTTGTCAAATGTGCACTCATTTCTGCTGAAAAATTGAAGTACATGCATGACTGCTCCAACCTGTCACAGGCCACCACCCACTCGACCACCTCGAAGAGTCCTCAGCCACACGGGGAGAAAAACATGGATAAGCCGCTTCAAATCAAAGTTTATTAATTTTCTCAGCTTTTCCGGAAAGTGATGCAAATCGTTTGCTTGGGTGGTTAGCCGCTCAAAACGGTCGGTCTTCTAGCTGTACGGCTTGATTTAACTAAACTAATTAGTTAGTATTTTTCACCAAAATCGGATTCACAAAAAAAACCGATCCACCCCCTACAAAAAATACGAAAATTGGGTCAAAAAAAAAATGTTCCCCAAATTTATGAGGTTCGATAGAATTTGTAGCAAGCTGTTCAGAACAGTCGGTCTTTTAGCTGTACGCCTTGATTTGGCCAAACTACGACTGAAAAACCACTAAAAAATGAGAATTTTTGATTAAAATCTGAATCACAAAAAAAACCGATGTACCCCCTTATAAAAAATGAGAAAATGGGTCAAAAAATAAAGGTTCCTTAAAATGATAGGGTCGATAGCATTTTTAGCAAGCTGTTCAGAACAGTCGGTCTTTTAGTTGTACGCCCTGATTTGGCTAAACTACGACTGAAAACCCACTAAAAAATCAGTATTTTTGACCAAAATCTGAATCACAAAAAAGCCGATGTAGCCCCTTATAAAAAATGCGAAAATGGGTCAAAAAATAAATGTTCCTTAAATTGATGGGGATCGATAGCATTTTTAGCAAGCTGCTCAGAACAGTCGGTCTTTTAGCTGTACGCATTGATTTGGCTAAACTACGGCTGAAAACCCGCTAAAAAATGGGTATTTTTGACCAAAATCGGAATTGCAACATGTTAGTTCTTATATGTATATCTTAATATACATATAACGACTCAAATATTTTTTCCCTTCAAATATTTTGCCCACACTTTCTTTTAGTGCAGAGCAAGCTAAAGCCCTTTAGCTTGTCTTTTATTTTCGGTTTCGTTGTTACTATGTTTCTTACTTTTTTGTAGATTTCATAAGATTTCCGGTCACTTCACTAATGAGTTTTACAATGCCTCGTAGCACACACACTGGAGCCCTGGAAAATGTTGATACAATGTCCTTGCACAAACAGTCCTTAAATCCAATCCTTTCCTGCACAAACAGGCATGTGTGTGTGCTTAATTTAATTTCCCATTCTTCATCTCGACTGGGGGTGTGTGGTGTGAGAAGAAAGATGGGCATTTCCATTGAGCCGTGTCTCTGTTTGTCTTTTGTTGGGCGAGGTCATCTTTTACGGTGGAGCAGAGGCAGCTCCGCTTAAGGAAAAGCTTTACAACAGTTAAGTGCTTAATTTATGTTGCTCGACAAATTCATTGAGATGGTCCTCGCTGGTCAGAGATAAGTCCCCCCAGTGAAAAAGTCCCCTTTCGAAAACCTGACTGACAAAAGGCTGAGGTGAAGCTGCCACTTTTAGCAGCAAAGTAAATAATTGGGTTGGCGTGCCTGTGAGCTCCTAGAAAACTGCACGGGAGTATGTAAATATATTTTATATTCAATTTGCCACATAATTCGATAAGATACTAGTAAGTAAAAGAGGGAGCGTTTTAAGGGAAAACTTTGGGGCTAGAGGAAAACTAAAGTGGGATTTGGGACATAAAAAACGTTTTTAGAGATTTCTTATTTAAGAACCACTACCAGTACCAAAATAATAATATATATTTATTATAAAGGCCTTAAAGTTCACCTAAAAGAAGCTGCAAGTCCTGGTAATGATTTAACTCCTTAAAGTTTTGAGCCACTTTCCCGTCTGTAAAGTTTCTCGGCTATCGCTTAAATCACAGGCAACTTTTTAGCCGCAAAGTGATTCATTCATAATCTCAGAGAAACTCAACTATTTTGTGCATATCTCCGTCTAAACCAACTGGCCAAAGTTCATTCATAATCCGAGATTGTTTCGCCAACTATTCGCATATATATATATAAGTATATACATAAACACTTCAGCACACTCGCAGACGGAAGACGAAGAAAGGCGGATTTATCATAAACTTTGCTGCTTTTTAATATTCACATCACACGCGGCGTATGAGTAATTTTGCTCGGCAAATGGCCAAGTCGTGTTTGCTGGCGAGGGTGTAGCTTTACGAGTGCCAAGTGAATGAAACAAAGTGAATTAAACTCAATCCAATTGAACCATAACGAATGAAAGTTTTGGGCTTATGCGGGCTTTAAAACACTCCACTCTTTGAATATAAATTAAAATCCAACTCACATAATTTCACAGCACCAACAATGCCCAACTCAAAAATGTCAAAAAAAAAAAGGTCACCTCGAGAACCCAACAGATGTCGGAATGTAAATGCATGCATAAATATTCCAATGCGACAACAATTGATTCTGTTTGCTTATGCCGTTTGGAAATATTCTACACTTTAAATAAATAATTATTTACGATCGCAGTGCGCGGGTTCAAAGGGCAGCAGGGGGTGGGATGTGGCCAGATTTGTGTCATCGCTACTTTGTTTGCCTCTGTGCATTGTTAAGAGCTGGAAGGCATATGACAATGGAGAGCGTACCCTGCTGGGCGAAAGAATCCATTGAAATTATATATTATAATAATGATAAGTATTTAATTTAACTTCCTAAAATATTTCCTGGATTTCCACTTTAAAACAAATAAATATTTGTATGGAACCTTATAAAATGTTCAATTTTTAATCTTCACTCATATTAATAAATATAAATATAAGCACCCCCTACACATTTTTTAAAACCCATTTAAATATAACATGTTAATATTTACGCTTTTCTAAATATATCTCAAGAAAAACAAGTCAGTCAGAATTGCCCTACTTGAAAATGTCTACACCTTATTTTAACAAAATAAATGTACATACTTATAAAATACTAAAAGCTTATTGGCTGAATTCATTTTGAAGCGGTAAAACATTGGATTCCTGTTCATTTCGCCCATAAAACACCCCCATTGGTATAAAAATCGCTCATAAATCTTAACTGCAACAACCATATTTAATTACAAAACTTTTGCCAACTGTCCAGCGCTTTTATCCCCCCGTTCCCCACAGCTGTCGAGGACATGCGGGACACACGGGAATATGGCGGTCTTTTTTTTTGTTTTTACAGCAGGAAAGGTTGGGGAAAGTGGGGAAATTATTACGCATACCCACACACGCCCCCTTAGGCTCTTTGCCATTTTTATCGGCTGCCAAATGGCCGACACTTGTCCACTCGTCCGCTCTTGGCCAGTTGGCCACTTGGCCACTTGGCCGCCTGGCCTAACACTTCCGGGCCGGGGCCATAAACCGAAATCTCTTGTTTGCACTGGCCCGGAGTCAAGGCGCAATGGCCAAAAAGGGGCGGCCCTGCGAAATCAGTTAACAGGCAATTTCAACTATTTTACAGACTGCGTATGGATTGGCCAAATGACCCGAGCCAAATGTCAATACCATCAGTGTATGTTCGAATGTCTCTGCATCAGCAGTTTATTTGATCCTAGTTCAGATGAGCTGTTGACTGTTTTACTTCTTTAACGAATCGATATCAGTATCGATACGATCTCAGATTTTCATATAATTACCTTATATTAAGAAAAGCAATTATATTTATACCCTTGCAGAGGGTATTTTACATTGACAAAATCTTCTTCTCTTGGGGAAATCAGTTTTTAGTATTTCAAAATTGAGTACTTAATTAAAAATTAAAAATTGGAAGACTTATATATATAGCTACCATATCATATAGCTACCATACACCCTGATAAATGTAGTACAAATAGATTAAAAACTCAATTAGAAAACCGATTTACAGGGTGTTTCAGCTTTTAGAGCCGTCGTTGTTGTTTTGGATATAAAATAAATTAAAAATATTTTAACTTTAAGAATAAGTTTAATTGAACTGAAATTGTCAGTAGTTAATTCAAAGTTTGCTCTTAAATACAAAATATTTCGTTCTCAAACTAAGAATTTTTCGTTCTTCAATCAATCTTGTGTCGAACTTATTTTGATTCATTTTTAGTCTTTAGATCAAGAACGTTCGTTCTCGAGTCCTAAATATAGATCTTTTAATTTAAGTGTTACCTTACTTTTAATATCGTTTGTTCTTGATTTGACAGCGAAATAGATTATATTTTTCTGAGTGTAGGATGAGGTATTAACATATATATGTATATACACTTTTCTTGATATCTTTGGTTTTGCGAGGTATCATATTTTTCACATGGCGCCAGGAAAACTCTCTTGGCATATTTATTTGAAAATTTCTCAACAGAGTAACGTGTATCTGAAGTGTTGAAGCACTCGACTACAGCGGTTAGAAATAAGAATTTAATGAATTATATTACCAGTTATACTTTTCAAGCGCCTCATAGGCAAACTGCGCGAAAACATTGCACTTGGATGGTGAAAAACAGGCTGTTAACATGAACAAAACCCGGAACCCTAAGCCCGCACAACTCCTACTCCCGTTAATTAGCAGAGTGATGGGGATCATGGCTCGTGTACCACTTAAACGATCTCAAGTGCTTTCCTTGTTCTCGGCCAAGATAAAGTTACCCCAGCGGAGCGATATAAAAAGAGGCCCGATTGCAGCAAACTACATTCGTTCTCCAGCAGAGAAGTAGAAACTGCAGTAGCTAAAACATCATCAAACGCAACATGAGAGTTTGTGGGTAGCTCCGGGCCATATCCTTCCATCGGAAATTTCAAGGAGTGCTTCTTTTTTTTCTGTGCTTTTTCTGTAGACCACTTGCTGCTGATTACATTCGGCTTGGCGGCGATCGCTGGCTGTCGAGAGGCTCTGGCCCATCCACCTAGGGAGGAACCACCGCCTTGTACCCCAACTCCCTGCCCTCCTCCTCCGCCACCGTGTACCACCACACCATGTCCTCCACCACCACCACCCTGCACCACCACCCCGTGCCCACCTCCACCACCACCCTGCACCACCACTCCGTGCCCTCCTCCACCACCACCTTGCACCACAACCCCGTGTCCACCTCCACCACCACCCTGCACCACCACTCCGTGCCCACCACCCCCACCTTGCGATCCACCACAACCACCACCACCACCACCGTGCACACCAACTCCCCCACCGTGCACAAGGACTCCACCTCCTCCACCGTGCACTAGGACTCCACCACCACCGCCGTGCACCAGGACTCCACCACCACCGCCATGCACCAGGACTCCACCACCACCGCCGTGCACCAGGACACCGCCACCATGCACTAGGACTCCACCACCACCTCCGTGCACCAGAACCCCACCATGCACCAGAACCCCACCGTGCACCACGACGACATGCGGGCCGCCTAAGGACGACAACATAATTGATAATGGCGGTTTAAATCCAAACCAAACTCTTCCTGATAATGGTGATACTCCCATAGTTCCAGTTGCCCAGGTGCTCCTCTCGCGCCACGACTGCCGCGGCCAAGACGACGGAACCTACCTGGCCGATGTGCGTCACTGCCGCCGCTACTACATATGCAACAGGCAGAGGTCCAGGCGCCAGTCTTGCCCCAGCGGTTTCTGGTTCGATCGCGAGCTGAAGACCTGCCGTCTGGCCAGCCTTGTCGACAACTGTAGCGCCAGACGCAACTAAGTTGGCCAGTGTGGCCCTCGCTTGAGCAAAGGAAATTGGCTTTACAGAATTTTTTTTTTTTTCAAAGAATATAGCTGAGCAAGTGCGAGTTAAATGTTAACTATTCCAAAGCAATAAATAAATATATCACTGATTATACAAGTAAAAAGTCTGGCCTATAGAATTTGAAACTTAAATAGTGTGGCTGCACTTTCTCAACAAAACAGTGTGACTGTGCTTTCAAGTCATTCCACGTTTTAAAATTCTTCAAAAGCAATAGTTGTTAACTGTTCCAAAGCAATAAATAAATATATCACTGATTATACAAGTAAAAAGAGTGGCCTATCGAATTTGAAACTAAAATAGTGTGCTTGCACTTTCTCAACAAAACAGTGTGACTGTGCTTTGAAGTCATTCAACATTTTAAAATTCTTCAAAAGCAATAGTTGTTACCTGATCCAAAGCAATAAATAAATATATCACTGATTATACAAGAAATAAGTGTGGCCTATCGAATTTGAATCTAAAATAGTGTGGCTGCACTTTCTCAACAAAACAGTGTGACTCTGCTTCAATGTCATTCAACATTTTCAAATTCTTCAAAAACCATACAGAAAGTAATGCCAAAGTAAAATACTGATCCGTTTGCAATCAATCAAAGCCATTATTAAATATATCTAAATATAGAACACGAACGATTAAGCTGTCTGGCCCTCTCTCCAATTTTCATCAATTTGCCCGGCGGCAAAATAAAGAAAACTTTCAATCAGCCGAACAAAAATTGCGAAAAAGCAAAACAAGCTCATAAATTTGTCAACACTTTTGGAGCGGCTAGGAATGGGTAGTGGGCAGTGGGTGGTGATGTTGCCCCATGACCGCGGGGCAGAAAAGTATGCCACAGTTTGGTGCACATCCATATCCGCTTTATAGGCGTCAACTTTTCGGTCGGGCACTCGAAGGGCCCCAACAACAGTGCGACAGTTGTGAGTTAGTGTCTGTGGCATTACTATGTCAGGCTATTTATTATATCCCGCCATATACCACCGCTGGGCCACCCACTTGGGCTGGTGCAGGGCACTTGACAGGGTAAAGAATTTATTTGTCGATAAGCATCCTTGATATTCCATTGGTGGTCCCAAGTGGGGCCCGGAAAATCTCGCGGAAATCTCCCCAAGTCACTAAATCAGCCAGGGAAAAATAGTCCTTGATGGTTATTCATGGCTTGTTGTAGCTTTCACATCAGATTGATATACGCTGATGTATGCTTCACATTTCCGTGAATGTGAGTTGCGTAAATGTCTTAATAAAAGGTAAGCATTCCAAAAATGTTTAGCAATTCTCTAAACGTTGAACATCATGTGTGTTTGGATTGTATTAAGTATTAGTTTTTATTTATTATATTAAAGTAAGAGAAATCATTAAAGGAATTTGAATAATATAAACTTTACCTAAACGCTATAATTGAAGCTCACACACTGGAAGCTAATATTAGTCATAATAATTAGTTGAAGGGTAAACACTTCAATGTGGCTGCACTTGCACATGGAATTATTACTATAGATGTAAAGCCAGTGTGACCAAAGCTAACATATATTCACAATAAGTTGAGAATTTTCTTTAAACAAATAAAAGTTTGCTATCATTTTAAAAGCTTCAAACATCACCTTATTTGTTCTAATTTAAGAATATATGTTCATTACTTTTTAAATTGAAGATTTTTATTTTATTTACTTAATAAAGACAAAAGGACAAGACAAAAGTATGTGTACATTAAATTGCTTATGTTATATAAAGTATTTAAGAAAATATATGTGCAAGGCTCGAGAAATAGGATCAGAGTACTTAAAGAACTCGTTTTTTCACGTCTTTTCCCTATGTTTTCGTGTACTTTTTCCTTTTCCCCTTATTTATTTTTTTATTTTGGGTCACCAACACAAATCAAAACGCAAAGCGCCGCAGCGGAGGCCGCGTTGCGTCGCGTCTGACTTTTATCATATTTCACTGGGGCATTCGACGACCGCCAAAAAATAAAGCCCAAAAAATAGCCGACGGAACAAAAAATTTGGGGAGGCGAAATTGAAACAACATGGAAGGACCGCGGCTAAGGATAGTTTTTGCCATTACCCGCAAAACGGGTCGGGCCAATAAAATGCCCAAAACTTTAAATGCAAAAATGGGTTTTTGGTTGCGTTTCGCTCAGCTTTCGCCATCTACATGCATATATCTATGTCACTGTGTGTATATGTATTAAATATCTCAGGGCTTTTTTTATGGCGCGAAGTGGCGCGCGAATTGTTTTTGCACAGTTGGGCGAAAATAACGCATTCGTATTCACACGCACGCCGCCCCAAATGCACACGCACACACACACTAAGAAAAAAATCACCCATACGTCCGGGGGGACAAACATAGATACTTCGTGTGTCCACACACACACAGATACGCCATCCCATGGAACAAGTTCTCACAGCTGCATCGGCATCCTGGCCAAGGAAAATCAACCAAAATTGTTTCACTCATTCAGATTCGAAAATCGTAGGTGTAAACTGGCGTTAAAGCCAGGCTTTTACAAGCTGCACGTTCGAATTTAGAAAATAAAATTAAGTAAACTAAACGAAGGCAATTCAAAATAGAAATATTACACACGACTAAGCGATTTATGAAATCAAAACTCACAAGTTAACCAGAAAAAAAAACTAAAACATTTAAAGCAAAATGTCTTTTAATGGAGATAAAATAGAGAAGCCCAAAACACCAAGCTGTAAATAAAACAAATTAAGTCAAAGGGGAAATTAGATATACATATATTGTAAGTAAATACTGCTTGTGTTGTAAGTTCACAATTATTTAGGGCTAAGTGAAAAACGTAAATTCGACAGAGGCAGTATTTAAGCAAATAAATAATAATGAGGACAAGAAATACAAAAGATTGAGGTACAAAAATCAGAGGTCAGCACAAAAAGACAAAATTCCTGAAATTGAAATGAAACTAAATATCAATGAAACAAAAACAGAATTTAGAGACGCTTTAGGGAAAATGTTTAATCCCTAATGAAAATATAAATTGTTAAAGTCAAAAGTAATTTAGGGAAATGAAATAAATGAAAGATTAAACAAAAATGCGTCAGAATCAGACGCATGATTATGATAAATCTGTCAGTAAATACAAATAGATTTCCAAATATTTTGGCAATGAGCAAGCTATATTTGTCATACTGCCATAAATATAGATGTTTAAACTAAAAGCTATAAATATACAGCGTAGGCATATTGATTTATGTAAATACTGTAATTATAATATGTCAAAAAACATTGCAAATTAATTGGGAAGTAATCATAAAGCCTTGGTCCTTTTTCATATGTATGCAAATATTAAATCACAAAAAGTTTTCAATTTAAATAAAAAACTTATTAACGAAATCATGGCATAAACACAATGCATTTAATACGCATATAAATATTTTTGTTTACTTAAATTCCATTGAAGATAGCAGCTCAAATGCCAATTTAAACCAATCAAATACGTGTGTTTATTGCACGCTTTTTTTATTAACAATTTCGTTTTTTTTTTTAATATTTTATTTCATTAATAAATGCGCTTGTGAAACTAACAAGAGCAATTGTTTGCGGCCGCTTAATTTATGGTTTACAAGCAAACATCAAACTCCCACGCGATTCGAATATTTGCGGCTTTAGGCGCTTAATTTTATTGGATTTTTGCGGATATTTTGCGGCATTAATTAATAAGCATATTTAACACTTACCGCAAAAATCCCGACGAGCAAAAGACCGTTGGTTAATCATGCGCCATTTATTTTTCAATTTGCCTGTCCTTAGATTTCCACATAAATATCGCCGTATCCCCCAACTATGCACTTCAGATTATTCTGCAAAAGATTAAGCGGAAAATGTTCATCATTTATTTGTGCGGCGAGAATTAAGGCAGATCACATAAATAAATAAATAGAGAGAGAGCCGTGGAAAGCTGCCAAATGACTCCTTCAGGCTGGAAAAAATTTTTCACATTTTTTCCGCCGCCCTTTTTTTTTTGGTTTTTTGCCCACTGCTCGTTTGGGGGGTTCATTTTGTAGATTGCGCGTTGAATTTTTAATTGCCCTCGCAACGAAAAATGCTCAAAATTACAACTAAACTTTAAATTAAACTTGAAACTGCACACACACACGGTTTTCCCGGGGGGGTGGTTACGGAGTAAGGAGTGTTTGTGTGCCGGGGTATTTCGTGCCCGAAAGTGCCTCACTTTATAACGAGCTCAGTTATTTCAATTATTAATTAATATCTCGCAGTGGAAAGCGATGCAGACAGGCAGATGCATATAGTGCAGACAGCTGTGGTCAGAAAAATAGGACAAAAACTGATAGAACAAGGCCTATAACACTTGAATAAAAATTTTTATCAAAAAAAATTTCGACTTTAAGATATAATTTATTATGAAATTTCACTTTAACTTAATTAGTTCCTAAAAAACCAGAATTTTTTCATATGCTTTCTACTATTTACCCAAAACAATAAGTAGAAATAACACAACTGCCATTATAAAATTGTTTACATTTTTGTTTAAGCTTCAATTAGAACCAAAATTGTATCATATCTTTTTAAAGACCCCATTACTAGGTTGTATTATTTTGGACTCCAAAGCCATATAGTGGTCCTCCCTTGATCCCCGCTCGCTGGCATACAGTTACCGTGGAAAGTTTGCCACCATTGGTAAGTGAAAGTTGAACGTAAGTAAAATAGTTTTCGGAGCAATTGAAAAACGCTCAACGGAAAGGAAAAACTTTCTGCAGCTCAGTTCATTTTTCCCACTTTCCCACTGTTGTCCTCTGCGGCAATAGCAACAACAATTAGGGCAAAAACAGCAACAAACACGTACAACTTGCACAATTTGCGAATGGGAATTTCAAATATTATTTTATTTTATTTTCATCACATATTTCTCGGTGCTGGCAAACGAATTCAATTAAGAACATTCACGATCAAGAGGATGACGAAAACTTTTGGCGGCACAAATTTCCAAGAATTGCCACAGTCAGCCAAAGAAGTACATGAACAGAAATTCAAATGACTGTCCAAATACAACAACTAACAAAGATCTGAAAAAAATAATATGGTTTCCTCCTAAAAACATTTAAAATAATTTTTAAGTAACAGAAGTTAACTTCGTCAAGCCCTTGCTAATTTTACAAATTAAAATGTGAATAAGAAGTATTTATATACTAAGATATACAAACAAATAATGAAATGTTTAATTTGTAACCCTATTATTGTCCCGTTCAGGGTAAGCCTAAAATAATGCTATTCGCCATGTCACTAAATCTTCAGACCAAAATTATTTTACCCTTTGCCAATATACACAAAAATATAAAAATTGTCAACTATTAAATTCTTTATATTAACATCACAGCTGCTGTTTTTAAAAATAGCAAACTTATGAAAATCGTATAGATTTAATTGTAAAAAAAATAATTAAGACATTTTATATGGAAAAAAGAAAATGTATAGCAGATAACTGATTAAAAATAAATTCCTGTGAATTTAGTGCTAAGTGCAATTAAAATTCTTAATTCAACAAATTAATAAATACATGTAATCGATGCGATTTTTACACAAAAAGGAAATACGGGGAAACGTAATTCCATTTAAAAGTATAAATATAATTAGAGTTAAAATGAAAAAAATAAATAGTAAATATACAAATATTAAATGACAGACTGCTCAATACATACATACTTGTCAATATAATACTCATATTTTAATGTCTCAAGATTTTCGCCATTTCCCTGTCTTATTTTTGGTAATAATTATAAAATACTTCCAGACATTTGAAATTTTTAAGTATATGATTTAGTTTACAAAATAAAAGACACTGTGGGTATACAACCTTGACGTACCTCACAAGCCATGCAAGTTTATAGCCAACTAGAATTCCCCGAGTGCTCGGAAAGTCACATTATGTTAAAGCTGATTATCGCTGGCAACAAAAACAAAGGCCGGGAAAATTACGTACGGGTAAAAAGTGAAAGTGAAAAATGACTTGGATATTGCACCTTAAAGATGCTCGGCAGGCAGGCGGGAAAAATAAAATATAAAAAAAAACCAGGCATGTTTGCCGCTGCAGGCAAACACAAATTCTTTGGCAATTTATTATTAGAAAGAAGCAGACGCCACGAGGCCGATAGAAAGCGATAGAAAGAAAGAAAGAGAGGGCCGCCAGGGGGGGCAAAGAAAGAGGGAGAGGGAGCAACGCTCACAAAAAGCTGAAGAGCAGGGCAGAAGTGGCGACTGCAGCGGTCGCAGGGCCATGACAGCTGTTTATGTAGTTGTCGCAACTACAGTGCCAACAGCAACATCAGCACGGCAGCAACATCACGAGCAACAGCAGCAACAGCAACAGCAACAGCAACAGCATCCCACCAGCAACACCAGGCATTGCGTCGAGCTGCTCGGATGCTCTCGCAGTCTGAACACGCGATGAGCTCGGAAAAACCGCAGAATCGACTATCTAGACACCCTCTGAGTTTTACCCCTATAAACATGAGATCTGGGAAACTATAAAAGCTAGAAAGTTGGGTTTTGGCATGCAGATTCTAGAGGTTCTTGCGCACAAACGCCAATATACTAGAACCTGTCTAGCGCCTATATTTTTTAATATTTATTAAATTTGTAAATGGGATTTTGTTCTGACTATCAATACCTAATGCCAAAATATATATTTGAAATATATTTTTAAATGTGCCTATAAAAATTTTAACTTAAATGGATATGTTTAGAGCTAACAAGTATATTTGCATGAAGAAAATGTTATCTTTATAGTGATATTAATATCATTAAAAAAACCTTTTTGCATTTAAAAAACTTTGTTATATTCCTCGTTTTGAAACTATGCTCTTAAAACGGTTAAAAAATTTAACCTTTAATCATGTTAAGTTACAGAAAAGAAGCTTATCCACTTTATAATATTATTAATACCTATTTTTCTTTTATAAGTATACAGTATACTTAATACAGATCTATTTAACAAACTAACTATTTAGTTATTTATTAATTCTTTTTTTATAGGTTATATAAAAACAAGTAGTAGGTACATTCAATGCCCATAACCAGTCGCCTTTCATTAACTTCGAATTAAGAGAAGTCATAAAGAATATCAGCGATATGGCACCATCTGCGCACCAGACACCTTAATTATCTTTATGTTTCAATTAAATGCGAGACAAGAACGTAGAGCCCATTTCGGAAACCACTATGCCCCGCCAATGCTACCGCGTAGTCTATAAGGAATAAATATTTGCCATGTTTATTATTATTTTAGAGCAACAACGCGATGTGCGTTGGCGATTGGGTTGACTTGGGGAAAAGCTGGTGGAACGGGAGGAGCTGGTCACACACGCGCCGCCATATGCCCAGATTCTTAGAGACTCCCAGTCCCACAGTCTCAGAATCTCTTAGTCTTACAGTCTCACAGTCTCAGAGTCTCCGAGTCTCCGAGTCTCAGAGTCTCATCTTCGCAGTGCTCGTTGCCTAGTCAATATTTCATTTGGCACTTGAACCAAATTCTTTTAGTTTGCTGCGAAGGTTGACGTCAACGTCAACGCCGCCGTCATCTCAGCGTCGCTGCGACAGCGCAGTCCACCTTTAGTAATGGATTTTTGTGTAACATCGATGGCTGTCTGTTTTGTAATTTCGCTAATTTAACCCACAGGCACCGGTATGTACATACATATGTATACCTGATAACAACAAAAAAAAAACACGAATATCTCGTATTATACACAAAAGATTAGACACAATTTCAACAATATTCCGTTGACAATGCAGTCCGCCAATTTAATATTTGATTTTTCCGCACACAAAGTAGGCAAATAATGGATATTTTGCATGCTGAAAAGCAAGTGCATTTTAATGCCAAACATGATATGAAACCATGGAGGGAAAGTATTTAGCAAATTGGTAAAACTCAATGGATGCCCAGCGGGGCAAATGTAATATTTTTTGCAGAGCGATTTTCCTTGGGGAACTCGCTGTAAAAAAAATTATAATATTTTATTGATCATAACTTTTTGGTCAAGCAGACTATTAAAAAATCAAGCTTTAATTATCATTTGTATGCTAAAGGCATTTATTTGGTCATTTTTAGCTTTAATATTTCAGGTAATGGAATAATAAATGTGAGATCCATTTTTATTACATATTACATTACTCATAATTCTTCTTTGGCTACAAATTCAGTATAACTATGTTATTTTTAAAATTCAAACAAAATGGAATTGTGTGAACTTGAATATATTATTTAATGGAATTACCATTGCGTAAAAGCCATGGAAAGTAAAATTAATATTAACCTACAGGTAAGAGATACAGATACATTTAATTTTATATTCGTTAGGGGATTTTCTTCCATAACTAGGAATATAATACAGTTAGGTAACGTTTTTCAAGAATATTTAATTCAGCGATCACCAAAAAAATATCAAATGAAGAGCTCAATATTTTGTTAACTTAAAGCCTTTAAAATATTAGAAGATAGTAAATTGTTGATAGTAAAATTTAAAAAAAAATCAAAATATGTTTTGTTAATTTTATTTTTTCCCGTGGCTTACACATTTTCTTGGTTGTTTCAATGTTTCAAATGATAGTGTTTGTTTTTTGACAACAAGCTATGGTAATAACGTAATTTTCCGGTGCAGAACGAGATTGGGAATAATTTTCAGCTAATTGCTAGCTCCGTTGCACATCATAGTTTTGCATTTCCTGAAACATTTACTTAAGACTCGGACCGCATCCAGGTCATATACCCGACAGCTACCATCACAATGTGCAGATACACACAACAAACCTATATATAAATGAGATTTTTCACTTTACATCTTTGGCTTTGTTGTGGCCCAAATTTCTGCAGTGGCCGCATCGCACAAAAAATGTACACAAAAGATAAGGAAAAACGCCACAGAAACCGCAGTAAAGTGGTTAAGATATTTATAAAAGATATATATTCTACAACAAGACGGCAGTTTAAATTCATCATTACAAAATAAAAAATAAAAATATAATCAAATAAATTACTGGCAACGAGTAGAAGCCAAAAAGTGAAAGCAGTACTTTATCTGGCCGTCTCTTTCTTTGTGGAAATGGCCATGTTGGTTTTCCATTTTCATGGCATTTTGCATTTTGCTCCTTTCTCGCTTTGCTTTTTTTATTTTATTATTTTTGGTCAGTTTTCTTTTTCGTTTTTCCTTTTTTTTTTCTGCTGTAATGAAAGCGATTACAAGCCGACAGCAAAGCAGACGATAATCAGGGAGGAAAGAGGGAGGGGGGTTGGCGGCTGGGGAAAAGCCATTTCCTTTGCTTTTCCACTTCCCCCGGCCCCTTTGTAAAGTTGTCGGGCAAATTTATGACATTTATTGAAATCGTTTTTCTTTTGGCTCTTTCCCCGCCAGAAAAACCCATTCCCATTTACAGAATTTTCTGCTCTTTTTCCGTTCTGATTAGTTGTATGCCATTGCGTTTTCCACCCACCCAAAATCCAGCTGCAATTAGTTTCACATTCCACGGGAAATCGCTGGGAAAATCCAGCACAATGCAAAAAGGCCTTTGGTCGACTTTCATTCGGCCAAAAATAATGCGGTGAAAAATGAAAATAATACAGAAAAAGACAAATAAATAACAAGAAATTCGAGAAATGAGAGGACCTGTTGCTCGGGACACAAAAGAAATGGGTGGTCAAAGGAGGCGGAAAGCAGTTAAGCTAACCAAAAGCAGGAAAATCGTAAAAGGAAGTTTCGGTTTAACAACAAAAACTTCTGGCTTAATTTTATTGAAATAAATGGAACAAAAAATGAAAAAAAATTAATCTCTTTGAGAATCCGGATGGAGACAAAACTAAATGGCTCAAATAAAAAGGGCGAAAATGGAAAGGAAATTAAATCAAGGTTATAAAACTAATAGCTTTCAAAAAGTTAGAAGCCTGAATTGAAATTGGAAAAAATACTGTTAAAATTTTTTAGATAGCATAAATAATAGATTAGTGAAAAATAAAAATTGTGGGATAAAAATATTTTAAAATCAAATAAGCAATTGTCATAAAAAAAACACAGCAATTGCAGAAATATTATTGTTATAAAATGATAGAAATTTGACCAATTTTTCTTTCATCTTAGTCCTTAGCAACATCTTAAATATATCAAGTGAAACATAACGTTAGTTATCATATTTTCGAATAGTCCCTTAGCAAAGCCCTCGCAAAAAAAACAACTTTACCACAAACATTTTGTTTGGCTCGCCTAAATTTATGAGGGCAACATGGTGAAAAAAATTAAGAAAACCAAAACGAGAGCAACCAAAATGTATGGAAAACAAGAAATAAGACTAAGAAATCGACGAGGGCGCTGAAAGTGCGTCTATGAGGATAGCCTTGAGCCACATATGTGGGAATGGGATATAGAAGAGCGCCAGACGCGATGAAAATAATGCAAAACTTTGCCAGCCACCAATAGAAAGAGACGGCTGCATAGTGTAAGAAAGAGATGGGGGTATTGGAAGTCTAGAGAATTCAATGAGACAGCGGCGAAGCAAAGAAAAAGCAGGGAAATCAAGTGAATGGCAATTAATACTAGGGCAATACCCCTGAAAAGAGCTAAATCCGTTAATAATTATACCATTCGTAGGTCCTATTTTGATTGATAGGTACTCCAACTGTTTATCTACTTTTACATATTACTACTATTATTATATATGTGTTTTGGGAAAAGAAAATCCTAACTCAATAAAATTCTATCCCTTAGTCCATCATTCCTTGGCCCATGCTATGCGTAAACAGGGTATTTTAAAGAAAAGCCGAAGGAAAACCTTCGTCAAAGTTGCCGCTTTCAAAATTGTTGTAGATGTTGCTCGGGAAATCTTGTTCAATAACAGCGGCAACAACAACAACAACAACAAAACACCCATTACGCATATGTAATAATTTTCATTTTCATTTTCCGAATTTTTTCTTTTCTTTTCTTTTCTTTTCTTGTGATCACAGCTGTGCCGGACAAGGAAAAGCGGGCAAAACGGAAGGGAAATGGCTAAGAGAAGGGGAAAGCCTGATGGCAGCCGTTTAATTTTTGCTCTTGTTCTTGTTGCTGTCTTTTATTAATGAATTTCTCTCATTTTTCCTCAATTCTCTATAGCCTCTGCGTTCTTGTCGTCGGTTTTTATTCGTTTTCCCTCTTTTTTTTGGTCGTTGTGCTCTTGTTTTTTACTATTTGGGCTATGTCTAAAAATATGTCCGCCAATTCGCTAAGTGGCCCCAAACTTATCTATACGGGATATACAGAAAATACGCTAAGATTTCCAAAAGAATACAACAGATTATATTAAACTTTAAATTAGAAATTTATTGGAAACATTCAACCAAAGCTATGGGTTAATAATAAATAACGAGCAAAATAAAACTGGACCACGCCTAAAATTAAACTATATTTTTTAATAAGCAAGTTAATAATAAATATCTGGTCAGAACCAGTGATATCAATGCAACCTTTAAATATTTCACTACTTGCATATTTTAGTATTCATAAAAAGTATACAGACAACGATAAAACATTTTAATAGTCTGTGTAGATAGTCATAAGAAAATACTGTTTCAAAATCTTAGTTTTGAAAAATGCATACAAGAATCTTTTATCTTTAAACAGTATTTGGAGAATTATAATCACGTTTAAAAAAAGTAAATATAATTCTTTAAAAGACCTATGAAACCTTCCCCTTTTTCTTTTCTCGTAAATCATAAAAATGTTTCCACAAATGGTTGCAAGCAAAAGTTAACCCAGCCCTCTAGTTCATTAAAGTCCACTTTATTAAAATTTATTTAAGCTACCGAAATCAAACAGCTTGATTTCGTTAATGTTTTCTCAAACATTATTTTTACCCACTTTGCTAAAAATACATGTTTTTTATCTATTCAGCTTATTTTTTATTGTTATCCTTTGCTAATTGGCATTGTGTCTAGCTCACTAATTAATTAAATTGCTCAATGTTGGTAAATGGATTTGTTGTTTCAGGGAAAACACGAAAAAAGCGATTTGTTTACATTGTAAAATTGCAACCCAAATACTTATACGTATGTGCTTATATTAAATTTATACATATATATTACTATTTATGTTTATCTCCTTGGGTCGTTTTGAAATTGTAGTTTGATTAGTTTTTTTTGCCACTGCGCTCTGTGAATATTTCTCAATTTTTGGCGCGCATTTTTCAAGCCGGCACTCTTTTCACAGACACTAACACTTTTGCACTCTTGCACACAAAAAATCAACAACAAAAAAAAAAGATTTTTATAGATTTAAGAAAAACTAAAATGTAACTTTTAAAAATCGTATATATTGTGTTTCTCTTTTATCAGCACCGAAACGCGAATGTTTTGGTAGTGAAATGTTGGTAACGAATATTCTGCCACCGGAGGATGCGAACCGCGCCGCGTGTCCGTACACGTGGCCAACTCGACGTAGACTGGGCGTATACGTAATGCCGCAGTTCCTGGCTCTGCTGCATCGAGTCTGCCGCCCGACTGTTGCCGCTGCCACGGCGGATGCTGCCACTGCTGCTGTCGCCCGCCGGCCAGCGATGCCCTCTCAGCCGGTTTTCCCGCCAAATCTGGCTTGTTTTTCCGGCTGTGTTTTTAATACTCATAAAAATATGGATTTCAAAAATGTTAATACTATTATGTGAAGCACACAAGTAATTTAATCAGATTTTCCAACCAATTCGGATTTTTTCTCTTTTTTAAAGAATATTTTTTGTTTTTATATTTGTAATATAATTTTGTTTAACCCTTCCTCTTCAAAACGTTCCCTGTGGCCAAAAAATTATCACCAAGTTACCCACAAAAAAATGATATAGACCCCAAATTCAAATACGCTTAAATTAAAAACATCAAATATGGGAAATGTTGCGTTTTGTATTGTATACCTTTTCACGTTATAGGTTGACATATAATGAAACATTAAAAAGTTAACCAAATAGGGTAAAAATCGTTGAAGCCTTTCCGAAGAAATTGTAGCTTTCGGTGATCATCTTAGGACGTTACTAAGTCACAAAAAAAGATAAGTTCTTTAATAATGCATGTTATAATTTGCTGAAAAAATACAATATGATGTTATTACTTACAAAAGAATAATAAAATATGGGGTGACACAAAGATCTCTTAAAGTCCAACTAAAATCCGTCTGTGATTTCGATGAAATGTTTTAATAATCAAAACATTTAAACATGTTAGTCCCAAATAAAAACATTTTTTATAATTAATATAAAGGGTCATACGAGCAAACAATTTTAGCAATAATATATAAGTATTAGTGTAAACTCACGTAATAAAATTGATTTCCAATGAATCCTTTTATAGGGAAATATTTTTGTAAATACATTTGAAAATGGCGCATCAAAGCGAACAGGATCTTTAATCATTCAGCCAGTAATTTGTGTATTGGTGTAACAAAGTGTTTTTTTTCAAACGAAATAATGTTGTTTAATGATACAGAAATAAATGTTTATGCCTGATGCTGGAACTAGAACTTTATTTTGCTCTTAGATTTTGCCTGGTTATGTTGCAGAGTTAGTGTAACTCGATTGGGTGGCTCTCGTATAATTTAATCCATTTTGAAATGGGTCAATGGAGCAACGGGTATATAATAGTCGCGATACTTGACTATAGCATACCTCCTGGTTTTTCCCTAGCTTTTTTCCCCCAAAAGTTCGCATCTCTGGGGATGCTCCACAAACGCTCAATGTCGAGTGAGTGGAAATAGAAAACGAATGCCGAACGCAGCCGAGGAGGCTTCGTGTGTGGCCTGATTTTCACTCGAAATGGGATTTTCCTTCATTCGAGTGGAAGAGACGCTAAAGAGCGGGAACTTTGAGTGAGTTGTAGGTTTTTTACTCATTTCCGCTGGCACTTCCGACTTCGTCCTGGGCCAAGGAAGTTGTAGCCACGCTGACAAGGACAACAAAGTCTGTCTTCATTTTTTGTTCGGCTTCTTCGCATAATATTTTATTTTATTTTATTTGCCCTCGTTCTTTTTTGGTGAAATGTCAAATGACATTCTTGGATCACCGACTGTAGAAACTGTTTTTAAAAATGTTAAGAATGTTGGTTTGGTTCTCTTTAAGCCTCAAGCGATTTGATGTTTCTTTTGCGATACGGTTGCTTACTATCTGCAAAAGGTCTTGAAAACTACTGACATTCTGGGTAGCTTAAGAATTACATTTCATTAGGATTTTAATAACTAGAACTCCAGCAGTTCTATTGTAACGTTTCCCAAGACAGTCTGAAATTTCTTTTTTATTAGCTTTTTAAGCGTGTCCATGACAGTAAACAAGACACTTGAAAATACATAAAAAACAAATAAAAACAATCATAATTTCATACTCTTACATGTAACGAACTATACAAATCTCCGTAATCCCTTAAACGAATTATTTAATTTTCATAAATGGTTTGCTAAGGGCAGGCTATCATGCATTGGATTAAACGAGAGATTAAATCAAAGTTTTCCAGCAACGCACATGTCGATTAAATCGTTTAAGCACTGACAAATTTAAGGTTTATAATTGAATAAGATTAAAGTTAAGGCAAGTAACTAGATACTTTCCAGCACTGTACAAAAAATATGTTAAGCTGGCTCACAAAAATAGGCAATGAAATAAATTTAAAATTAACGTTTTTACTTTCTTGAGCTACAAGTCAAAAACCATAACTATTAATTTATTTATTACTTTATAATAATATTTAAATATTGTTTGGCATTAAATTAAAGCAGTTCTAACTATACACAGAGAGAATTATTCAAGTACATTGTTCTTGAATTGAGAACATTCGTTCTTAAAACCGTGTAAGTATTTTTTTTTGGTATCAATGTTCTCAATATTAAAACGTTAATTGAGTTAAGATATACAATGTACATACCGCCAATTCAACTTGATTCGAGCAAAATATAATAATTTTCAACTAAAAAAATGTCGTTCTATTTTTAAGAACATTTTTAACTCAGATGAAAACGTCATAATTTTCTCTGTGTATAAATAATATCTATTATACAACATTTTTTGACAGTTTCAATAATAAATAGTTTGTTTTCAGCTGCAAAATAATTGTTTAAGATGGTGTTATCATTTGAATTGCCTATTTTATTATTTTGAACAGTCTTTATAGTAGGTATACAATTCGAATTTAGCTATTGGGAAGTCTTGCAAGCTATCAACTTGTGGAAAAATCGATGTAATCACATTAATACCCAATTAACCTTAACCAAAGAGTATCCTTTGAGTCTGTCAGCTAGAAATGTCGGCGAAAAAAGTGCTGGCTGCGAGACACAGGGACAAAAAGCAGCGCCATGGCTGCGTTTTTGCATCACAGGACCTAGGACAACTGAGACCAAAAGCTGCATTGTGCGGGGCCACAGGATGCGGCTGCGAGGACGACGGGGTCGAGACGTTCCTTTTGCTTCAATTTGCTGTTCTATTTTGCTATTTTGCCGCTTCCACAGGCCACAGGGCAACAACAACAGTAGCAGCAACAGGGAAAGGCGGTCAAAGGTTGCCAGAGTTACAGCCAAATGAGTAAGATGCGAGGAGGCGAACAAGAAAACAAACGCAACAACAACGACAAAAATCCTGGCAGCTGCTGCCTGTTGCCTCAATAAGGAATAATTTGGCCGAGAATTCCCACTCATTTGCCATTTCCCATTTGCCGTATCCCACATATCCCATATATACCCCATATACCCCATATACCCCATATCCCCCATACCAAATGTGCCACCCATCTCCTGTGCGTTATTATTTGCCTTTTGAATCCAATGTGTGCTATGCCTTCGAGTGTGATTAGCAGCAATGTTCGAGTCATAACCGTAATAACAAGGATATGCGAGGGACCCCAAAGGACCCAAAGAAAAACCCGGGCCGGGGCCCAAAAGAATGTAACTTTCCCGCCTGGCCCACAAATTTATTCGCAATCAACGCTATTAAGTGTCAATCGACCACTGCAATTATTAATCAGCCGTCTCGAAGGATCTAGGATCTAAGGACACTGCCAGCATGGCAGCAAAAGCCTTAATTACATAATCAACGAGTTTGGCCAAAAGTTGTGCAAGCTCAATCCAAGGCAAACCAAGATATCCCCGAGTATATCTGTCCAACATGTAATTGTGGGTGTTCGTATCTGTGTGGCAATAAACGAGTCTGTTTGCCTGATTTCAAGACTGTGTTTATGGATGGGTTCGAAAGGGTTCCAGTATCCGTGTCCTTTGTTTTAATATTTGCACGCAAGTGTTTGTCCGTTTTGGGGGAAGCCATTAAATTTCCATATCCCAAACAGTTAGCAAATTTATGACAATGTGGCAATTGAAATAAATTATGTAGATAATATCCCCAACAAATCTTAGGTTTAATTAGTCCATTGTTCGTGTAAATAAGAATCTAAAATGTGTATATTTAGTATTCATTTTGTGGGAAAAAGTAATGAAGGACATCTTTGAACCCATATATGAACCTATATGATCATAAATTATACTTTTAACTTTTAATTTAATTTGATTTTTTAAAAATTTGATTTGCGCGGTTTCCAAAAATTAGAAAAGGAATTTAAATTTTAATTTAAAATTACAAGAACTTACTTTTTGTTTTTGGATATAAAGAGATTTGTATTTCATAAATTAAAATGAAATAAATTATATAATATCCTATCCTATCAGTCATTTCTCGAGTTTCTTGTTTTTATGTTTTATAAAATGTTTTTATAAATACCTAATTTTTAATTTGATCATTTTGTCGCACCATGAATCAATCGTAAAAGTTACTCAAAATAATTGTCGCTATCTCAATTGCTCTAAGTTTTCTATAAGCACTTAAGTACTTGAAAGTATTCAAGCCGATGGGAATCACAAGCCTCATCCAAGCTTGGAAAACAAACAACATTTTAAGCGATTTTGTCTGGGGAAAGTTTTTTTTTTTGCAAGTGAAATTGTCTCGGGGGCTATGAGCGAGAAACTTTCCAATTTTATGGAGCCATACGAATTCACAATGTATAATTAAAATTCTATTTTTGATAATTGGTAAACTCGACTCGGTCTGTCTATCTATGCAAAAGTTTTGCCAAATGAAAAACGAAAACCACAAAAACCCAAAAAGGACAATCCAGTCGCATTATGCCTGCAATCCTGCACACACACACACACACACACACACAACTAAGCACATTCAGGACAATGAGTGCTTTACTGAGAGCCCGTGCATTGAATGCAATGAGCACCTGTCGATGGCAATTCGAGCAGGGAATCCAGGAACCCAGAAAACAGGTGCACTGAGAAAAAAAAACTGTAAAATTAGAGCTTTTTTTGAATATTATGTGGGGGCTAAAAATAATTTCCGCCTAATTAAAC